CAGTACCCATTGTATGCATAAGTTTATCAGTCAATCTTGTAAATACTGATTATTCTGTTTCTGATAAATTTTCCATTTATCTGATTTTGATTTATATTTTTTTGTAAAATCTTATCTACCAATGCCCGAATTCGTACACGTGATTATTTGGTACAAGTTTCATATTCGTCATTACTATAGTATTTTTCTCACGAAACTAGTGGCCTTTACATGCTGAAACTGTAAAGCTTTTGACAGTTTCAATTCAGTAGAAAAAACAACTTTATCGTTCTGATATGCGTTTCAATGGGGTCGTTAATTTGATTAATAGTTATGCCAAAATATTTTTATGAAGGCGATTTAGTGTGCTCAAATTTAATGAAAATTCATCTCCTCATTACGGTTTTCCGAGGGGAAATTGCATAGTTCTAATTTTAAAGCATAACGCTATCATCCTTAATTTCTGATTAGAGAATTTTAGTAAGAGTATTCCTCTGTGGCAGGTTATTAAATAATATTGTCGAACAAAATTTCCAGTGGGTTTAAGAAAACACAGATTGAGAATGAAAGTCTCTTGATGGGCTAATCAATACTCTTGATATAAGATACATTTTCAAGTCACACTGTAAATTCATAATCAATATCGTACTTCTGAGTACACTCGTAAAAGACCTGATTTTAAATTTTCTCACTGACTATCAAGTGGCCGTAATTGGTTTTTTGCCATCGGTTTGTCCTTAATTTCGATGTTAAATTCACCCAAATACAAAAAGATCTGTGTAGGGATGTTTTAGTGTAATTATGACTAAGAAGTATTTTCGGATTTCAGCTTCACTTATATTTTACTGTACTTCCCATTCAAAACACTATTCCAGCAGATGCATCATGTAATTATGGCAATTAAAATTAGACTTGACGGAATAAGTATTTCTTTGGTGGGTACTAGTGATCTCTCTCATGATTAAACTGTCTTTGTAAGTCTTGTACGCCTATGTCATCGTTAAAATAATAGTAAGATGAATTGAAACGATATGACCACACATTCTATCCAATGGATTGCTCTGGACCTCACATGCATGTACACGCACATAAAATTCCAGGGATTGATTTATGAAAAGTGAACTCTAGAAAATTTTAGATATTACAAAATCGATTGCGAACCGAATGGACAGTAGATAGCGCAATGCTTCCAAAATTTGAACAAAATACTCTTACCACAATGACCGCACCAATTACTCATATTCCTTGTCAGATGGCAACGCATGGTTGAGACTTGTAGCTATTTTTCTGTACTCCCATTGGAGAAATGACAGGAAATAGATTAAGCAGTCATAAGTTGGTGATTAGATCTGGCAGAATAAGATATGTTTTTTTTTAAATTAACGACTAGGAATAAATTGAAATTTCAATCGAATTCTCAGTGGAAAAGCGAAATTAATAAATAAGAAAAGAGATTGAGGTGGTGAAGTAAATGGTCATATGACGTTTGACGTTGAACCATTTTTTTCTAACTTTTAAACTGCTTGATTTCAGACTAGTAAATGTCAAAAATTTCGTTAGGATTATTTCATTTAATCTGAGAATTTTGTTTGATTTATTTTCTCAGTATAAGTATTAAACTTTCATAAATCAGCTGAGAGAGAGAGAAAGAGACCAAAAGTATAGCACTTTTACCAATTTAATATTCGCAAAAAAACAGGTGAATGTGGCGTGCTGCCTTCCATTTATGTTTCTCAACTATTGCCGCCATTCCTTCTCCGCATTTGTTTCAAATTTTTCAAATACTTTCCTTTCTCTTTTACTCCTTAATTGATTTCTTGCGAAAAGTAGATGATTAAAAGTTTATTTTACTTCCCTGGTTAATAGTAGTACAAACTGAAGGAAAATTCGAACTTACCTGGTTAGTTTGAAATGGCAAACGGAATGGGTTAAGCTTGTTTAATAAAAGATTTCAAATTTCTCCATAGAGAGGCCGAAGAGAGGATGGTGAAAAACACCTACCATAAAGGGATTGGAAGTCATTGCATCTCCAATCGAAATCGGTTCTATTGGTTATTTAGTCTATTGGATGTTTTCGGAATAAGAATGTGTGCCTGTGGACCACAAAACCATTGACACACTTATTCCATCTGAAGGAGAAAATGTCTTGTGACACTTATGGCCTTTTTGCTCAAACAGTTGAAACAGGAGTTTCTCTTGTAAATATCTAATTAAAATTTTCTTCCAATCACATATTTTATTTCATTGTACTTCTATTCATAACCTTTAAAATATGTTAATACTGCTATTATGCCTAGAAATTTTATCAAATTCACCGACTTTCTCTTGTCGGTTACATGTAGAACCGCAAAACGAATGATACTCAATTACTTTAGATAGAGGTCGACTGGTTATTATTTTCTTCATTTGCGTTTGAGAAATAAATCATATAATTTAATGTGATAAGCAGGACTGAATGCATGAAAAATTAAAATATCTTGGGAAGTTTACTCAGCTTAAACCCGATTTCCATTAAGGAATGAGACAATGAAGATCCACTGACCTTAGTATTCCTACCGGGTGTAAATTAAGTGAAATTTTATAAACAATGCGGTAATATCGCTAATTATTTTGGACCTAAGTCTCAAATATTTAATGTAATTATGTGTGAGCACATTCAAGACAAAGTATGCGCTGGCCTGCCAAATAATGCGCACATATCCTCTAAATCAATGAATTATTAGCGACCAAACCCCAAACTACCAGGAAATATCTAATTACTATAAGTTATTTTGCTTCCGTATAGCCCAAACTTTATATATTTCATTCTCGTTCGATGGTTAATTAACAGCCACTTATTAACTCAACTCGATACAATGAAATACATTAACAATACTCTGACTGTCCTCAGTATGGTAATTTTTTCATCTAAGTATACCTGGGTGAAATTATATAGATTTAACAATTTTGCAGTGTCGCTAGAGGAAGATAGAATTTTATCTTGAAAAATTATCTGGTATTAATGGGTTAATATTACGATATTACGATTAATAAATCGTAGGGTAAAATCAAAGCATAATTTTAAGCAATAAAGTATTTCAGTATAGGTAGGTTTGGCAACTGAAATGAAATGTTTCCCAAAATTTTCAATTTGTCAACAGATTTATTGCTTCCCTAAATTCCACCAACAAAGGAAGATGAAATAGGTGAATTAAAATAAAAAGGAGTCTGATTGTTATTTTTTGCGGTTTCATTTGATTTTAAAATCATCAGAAGGGGTTAATAATGGTAGCTTAAAGCATTAAAACCAAAGAGATGAGGAATGGCTCAATTATAAATATTACTAATTGCAATTACAATTTTCGCCTATACGTAAGTTTTGTGGGTAGGAAAATTCAGTTCGGCTACTATTGTTCATAATGGATAGAAGAAAGGACTAAGTTGCGCTTAGAATTTATCTGTTTAAACCCCTCAATATCATTTTATACTTTTTCTTCTACCTTACTCCCTAAAATTCTCATAATGCTTTACGCAATGTATTTCGTTCATTAGAATTCTTTGTATTTTTAGTTTTGGTTATTGTTATTTATTAGCTCAATTTAATTTCTCTACTACGTGGTTCATTAATTCCTCCAATTTGGTTACTCTATAGGCATTCATTCTCCTGTGCAACAATAACCAATACAATCCGTTCCATAAAACCTGAATTAATGATAGTGCGAAGAGAATATGGCAGTTGGAAATAGTGAATCCACGCATTCATCTGTTGTTTTATGACACTGATTTGAATAACTGAATCCATTCACCGATTCATGGACAATAATCGCACATAAATCGAAAACAGCCATAAATTTAGAAGTCGTAAATAATATCAATAAAAATTTTTGTATTCTTATTAATTTAATTCATCTAACAATCTCATAAGACTTCAAATAGACATAAGATATATTCAATCAACATAATTTCAGGGCAAGATGAGACTGAAAAATCGTGTGTACTCAATTAAACGAATTTTACATATTTAAAATGACTTAATTTCATGTGCTAATCTTTACGATTCATATTAGTTTTATACTAAGGTTATTGGAAATCGTGCAGCGAAACAAGCATCATTGTCACTAGTAATTTGCTGTCATGAATGCTAGCCGAAGACAATGTACTGGTATAATGATCAATCTTCAAATATATTAGCTTAAATTTTACAAAAATAATTTAAATAACATTTAATTGTATGCTACAAAATTAAATGTTGCAGTAGAGAGATATTCATCGTCGATTTAAATTACTTTTTCCTGAATAAATGACACAAAATAGACATTTTGTCAATGTTATGAATTCAAAACTTAAAATTGAAGTTATCTGAATTAAAAAGATGATCAAATAATAATACAAGTTGTCGCAGTTCTAACCATTGACCACAATGTTATTAAATTAATTCATATATTTGAAATTGACGGCTTCTAATTAATATTTAAAAAAACATATGAAGTAGAGAGATAAATATTTTCTAATCTGAAAGTAAATCTATAAATTTAATCAGATAGGTAATATACAGCAGTATTGTAGCATTAGCTCACCTTGCGAATATACCCATTTTGACAAAATATGTTTGGATGTGCACTCTTTGAGACGTTCGAGGAAACTTAAAATACTAAAATACTATAAAATGAAAGGAATCGAATAAATCAGAAGTATCGTTTATCTTAGGTACTATTCGAAAAGTTTCAGATAAAAAGAGTATTAACTGAGATAACTTTAATTTAATCTTGATGTATCAATATATGAGTCATGATGAAGTTCTTTAACAAACGATAAAATAGAGTATAGTTTTTTACCAAACCTATTAATAAAAGAAACAATAACAGACCAATTAAATTTTAAAATAGCGATAATTTAAATATTTAATATCTTTAAAAATATATAGTAAATAAGTGTTTTAATCGCTTGTCATGTTCACCTCTGGATAGGCTATATTTCAAAATCAGCTGTTCGAAGCGGTCCTCTCACAGTTGATCGACCTATTGTCTTTCTTTTGAAATATCATGCCAATAAAACTTCCTGAACATTTATACAAATTGTATAGAGATAAAAACGATGATATTGAAATATACTCCGTGAAATTGACCGATTCGGCCCTCAGAGCTCTTGATAATTGTCAGGTAAACTAAATTTTGTTTCATATTACATGAAATTTAGTCCACCCCAGTCAAACTTTCCGTCAACGGGTCTCAAGGTGTACGTTAAATTTCTCTATAATTTGATGATCTATTCCATAGACGCTTTCAATTCCATCCAAACAAAACTGTGTGTCTTATGATCTGAACATTTCCCCATTTCACCAAAGCGTTGATGCAACTACTGATGTTATCCAGTTATCAGGGTTTGTTTGGTTCACTATACCGTAATTCTTAATGTGCAGATCCCGAGCGATAAATCTTGGAAAGTCAGTATCTAAACTTACCGTTCAGGCCAAAGCCGATAGCTTTTCTGCCGCTAAGATGAAAATGGCTGAGGCCGAGGATCAAAGAAAGGGCTATGCCAAAGCAAACATTATGCCAAATAACAAACGTGCAAATATACGCGATCCAAATCTCAAGTCCCGATCTATACTCACTCCTCCCCCTCGTAATGGAGAAATTCGAAAATCTCCCACAACTCTTGCTCGAAATTCCAGTCCTTTAGCAAATAAAAGTCCTGTTAATACTGATGTGGCATCACGTTCACTAAGGTAATATTTGATTATTACAAAATTCTTGATTGATTACAAACTTGATCAAATTTTATCTTGATTTCGTTAGAGATCGTATCATTCATCTGCTAGCTGTACAACCATATCAAAGACCCGAATTGCTCTTAAGGCTTAAACGTGATGGCCTAACGGATGAACAGAAGGATAAAGTTGATGCTATATTAGGCAAGGTTGGACGTACTGGTCGTCAGGGTGAATTCCACCTCTCCCCAGCCTTCATCAATTTAGTTGAAGCCAACTGGCCCGGTTATTCTCCCTCTGAAAGGTCCAATGTTGCTTCACTCAAAGTAAGTTCTTAGCTTATTTTGGAGGCATTTAATATTTGTACTACTATTTACGCGTGAATATCGGGAATACCTCTTGCAGCTTAGTTTTGTAAATTCCTAGTATAAAAAGAAACGTGAACTAATAGCAATATTATGGATTCAATTCGATTCCGTTTCTCGCACGCCTATAGAGAGGGAATGCATGTGGTACTCGCCTTTTCACAATCGATATTGTTGCGGTGTGGTTTGTTGTTAGTGGTGGTTATTATGTAGGTGGTTTTCTGTTTTATTACCGAGGTGCGGTTTTTTAATGCCTTTTTACTCCACTTACTCCACTTTTTTTCTATAAAATTTTGCCATCTGTAGGGCTTCAGGATTGATGATTATCCTTGCTTAACCAATCTTGTTCATTAAGGTCAGAATGAACAGTTCCCTTGGGGTATCTTTGCATTGACAAAATATGTCATGTTTTTCCGCCTGCCTTTTCTCATAGGCGAGAGTTTCGACTAGTTCTCCAGGTAGTCGACTTTCCTTGGATGGGGCACGTGTGACTCCAACTAGCCAAAAGAATTCACCCCAAGCCATCGCCCCCCCTCAGCCTGCGACTTCTGTTGCAGAGGAGAATGATTTTGGTAGGAAACCGACTCGTGCAAGTGCTCCCGCTGCTCCCCATCCCCTGGTAAAAAAAATAGCTGCTCTCGATCTTCTAGCCTCGGGTCTTTCCTTACCTATCGTTGCATCTCGTTATAACATCCCTATCGGTGTGCTAGAGAATTGGAAAAAGAGCGAACAGTCGCTTAGAGAGGTGAAGCTTTATATTTTTCTCTTTCTAGAATTTTCTAGAACTGGAATTATTTGACCTGTTATAATTTGTCTGTTTTTTGTTGTTTTAGAGATATGCCAATCGTCGCAAGTCAGCAATTCCCCAGCCCATGGTTGAACCTTTCTCTTCTTTTCAGCAGGATGATGCCATGGCTGCCAAGACTTCTATGAGTCATGGTGCTACTACCATCGCTGGTCACCCTGAATCGGATCTTAATCGCAATGGAGGCGCAATTTCGAAACCCTCTTCACCAAAGCGACCACGACTTTCATCCTCATCTAATGAGAGTGGTATTCACTCGTGCAGCCCCATCAACACAAACTACGGAAATGGTCTTCAACAATCTGCGTCTTCCACAACCAAGCGTTCTAGTGCTACTATTCCTGCTCAGCCACTACCCATTGTGAATAAACCAACATCCAACACTTCTATTTCTTTCAAAGACCCCTCTCCTCCAAGTACAAATAAAGGGCCCTCTCCTGTTGCTGCCACGTCTCGTAAACGCACCTATGATGCCACACTCAATGATGGAGAAGAATATTCTAGAAGGAGCAATGTTCCTGCACCCGCGCCGCTTACTTCTACCTCAAGACATTTGAATGGCGGTGGTTGCGGTAGGCGGACAAATGACCGTGGAAGCGAGTCTAGCTTCTGTATGGACAGTTCTAGCCCTCCCGGTGAGGCTACTAGCCCCGTTTCCCAATTCTATGCTCGTGGTTCAATGGCTGACTCAAATAAGATGGCTGGTGGTAAGTGCTATTATGGTTAATTTAAGTCTATTTTAGCTCCTCATATGACTGGCTTTTTTACTACTTTTCTTCCTGTTCGTAAAGTACAAAGTGACATGTGTTCTGTCAAGTTGATGATCGGTTTGAATGTGCTTGATGAATTTTTCTTTTCTCAATATGTAACTTACTCAATTCTAAGCACTTTGTGCATAAGATCAGTTGTGCTGGAAAATCGAACTGAATACCATCAATTTACTCCAACCTAATAGCTGAACTAACTACCAAAGTTCATTCATATCGACCTCTTTATTTATACAAAGTGCAATCAAGTGGCGTTCAAGTTTCTCGCATACACTAACCTCCCCCCTCCCCCCCCCCCCCCCACTCTTCCTTGTTAACTGACTTATGTATAAGTTGTCAAATCTTTTATTTGCGAAGTGCATTTATGGTCGATAACCCCTCCCTTTTTTACGCATTTTACACTAAACGTGAAAAGACTACCAGGTCGCATAGTTTGCATTGCTTCTAAGCCTGTGCACACGTACACTTGTGTATCACGTGGTATGAGACTGGGTCACTGAATTTATTAAGTAGTATATTTGAGCTTTATATTAAGCGCTGTGTTCTCTATCTATTCCGTAGACAAAGTCCAGCGGTTCGATGCTGGGTCCAACGAAGAAAAAGCTTCTGACGCTTCTTCTGAAGATGACTCACTATACAATGAAATTTCTAATCAGAGTGCTAAAATTGAGAGGTAAACTTCAGCTCTCTCTATGCTATGTTTGGATGTGTTCTCTTTTACACACCCTCTCATCCGCCATTTTAGGCAATATCCACCAATTACCAATGCTAGACAAGCGGCAAGCTATCGGGAGACCTTTGAGTCGGTCTATCCTCAGTACTTGAGACTACATGAGCAGTACCGGTTAGCTTGGGATAAGGTGATAACCCTTAAGCACCAGATAATGGCTCTTAATGGCGCTCAAGACAATCAGAAAATGTCCATACTGGCTAAAGAGTTGGATGATTTTCTCAACCGGATGAGAAAACCCGAGAGACGAGAGGAAGAAATTAAGCTCCTGGTCATGTCGCATAAACTCCAGCACTTGAAACACCAATTAGCTGATTATACCGCTAGGTTGAATGCAAGTGCCAATGGGGAATCGAACTCGTCTTCGCTACGGGCCGGGGCTTCTGATTAACAAAAATCTATAATCAGTACTGCTGCCTAGAGGGTCTTCGTCTACTTTTTTTGTAATGCATTTCTTCCCATCCCTCCTCATCTCTGTTTCTCTGACAATCTTGTACAGTGTGTCATCAAAATAATCGTCCCTTTCCGGTTCAAAAGAGGTTAAAGCTTTAACATATCTCCTTCTCTCTATCCAATATAATCATTTACAGAAAATAACATCATTAAGCATTTCAATTTTCATGCGTGATTCGCATTTTTCTCCCTTTATCAATTGATTCTACTTTCACCTATTCTCTTATTTTTCGCATATTATTCAGCCCCTTTTCATTAATACTGACTCCTTTCCTGGCAAATGAACTTTTAATTGATCTGCTCCTACCCCCTCCCCTTTTCCATATCTCGCGTCACACATTCATTCCGAGGTGGGGTGTGCGCACATGTTGAGATTGTGTCAACCCTACTCTCTTTCCTTTTCACCATATCGTCTTTCGTAATCCTATCTTTTCTCTTTTACATTGCACACAGAGTTTCTTGCTATAAAGTGGCCTTTCACAAATTCATTCCCTTCCTTCGACGTTCACTCTTTAAAGCAGCAGTGTGGAAAGAAGCAAAACTCGGAAGCAACATCCGAACTGATTATGAATTCCCGATGTATTCGTAGTAATTATATACGTTATTTTGTCGCAATATTTTCTGTGATGGTAGCCTTTTTTTCCATCTCTCTATTGGTACGCATTATTCTCTCTCTCCCCCCCCCCCCCTCTTTACTCAGAAGGATACTTATTATTTTGGTCGGTTCTCATGTCTGTTCTCTCCCTCCCCCCTTGCTGAACTAACGGTTTTCCCCAATTTCCCTCCCATGTCGCTTTGTGGTTTACTGACTATGCTCTTATTCAATGGATAACCGAATTGGTAGCTTCTTAAACATACCAGAAACAAAACTCTTTCCTATCTCTTTTGTGCTGGGTCATCGCGCCTGTAGCATATATTTGCGTTTTAAAACAATAAAAAACAAGTTGCATTTTAATATTTGGGCTTCTTCCGTAGTAATAACATTGGATGCCTACACAATGGTGTTCTTGACAAAAATAGAAAATGTGGGCTGTGCTTTTGCTCCAAAGGGTTATGTGAAGCAAAATGAGAATAAAGTCAAATTCTAAGTATGTAGACAGGTAATTTCTTTGGTAGCTTGAGGGGGTTAGTTTAGAGTTATTATTGAAATAAAAACCACCAGATCATTATAATCATTAATATTTAATGATGTTTGTTAATCAGAGCCGTTAGACTTCCATTTGATTATGCATCGTTTTTATTACTCTTAAATGCGTCTAATATTGTGTTTCAGTTCGTTATTTTACAGGTATTGCAAATGAATGTTCATTATCCCTCACATCTTCGCGACTCATAGCATTCGTTTCAACCTGTTTAACTTCCTGTGCACTTGAACACTTGACCAAAATTTTATCGGTACGTTTTGGTGGTGCGATTTAAATTACCTTTCATTTTGTTATAAACAACCTTACAAAATCAATAACAATTAACACAAGCTTAGTTTTTGAGCTAAAGAATTTAAGTAGTTGCACTTCTCATGCGAGTATTTCTCATAGCGTGAGTTTTTTATGGTTTCTTAAATTCCACGATCGATGTGAATCAATCAATAACTCCTAAACTGATTCCTTAGTAAGAGGATTAATTTCAACGTTTTATTATTTCCGTAAACTACCTAACGGCCTTACCTTAACCTAAAACAGGATTTCTTTCATCTTTTCAGATCAACTGTAAATTCAGCTTTTATCGTGTTTTAATGTGATTTTCTTATTTCATTCTTTTGGAAAATTAACTTTTGGAAAATCGATAATTTAATCACCACGCTTGGCTTCATTAATTAACTACGGCTTCTAGCTAAACCATTGATTAAGGTTTTTTGCATAATGCATTATTATGATACGTTATTTTTAATGTGTGTAAAGCTAGATTAAGTATCCCATTATTATCTCTTGATTTACGCAACAGAAATAAGGATTTTTTCTCATCTTTCGATGAAGTGCTTAGACTAATCAACCATGTTTCAGGTTCAATGTTTTTCACGGCTTAGAAATTTGATTAATGGGCTTAATGTCTGTATTTCCTTTCGTTCGACTTATTCTTTTCACTTTCGCGATCGAAAGTTCGATAAAACACATAATTTGCACATAAACTTCAATTATGTTTTATATACTTAGTACAAATTGAGCTAATTTTAGGATTTTAAAACTCCACTTTTCAGCAGTGAAAAGTAGCCAATCAGCAATGCCACTTTTCCATTGCTCTACCAGTTTGTAGCTAATTTCTCACAAACAGCTTTTGGGGGCCAAATAGCATTCTTTATTGATCTGGATGTTGTTGGGACTTTCAAAGAAGGCGCTTTCATGTTTGTGCCCAGATTTAGTCAACGCATCGTCCCTTCCATTTAAGCGTAAACAATCATAATAGGCTATTCATGTGTGCCATGTTTGTCACAACTCGCCAACAATTTACTGACCTAAATACGCAATTACCCTCACATAAAACATTGTTTTCTTTCAATCGTATTTTTATTTGGACCTTGTTTATGGAGAACTCATTTGTGTTACTACCATTTGTTGAGTCCTGTTAAAGCTCTTAACCTCATTAAATTACAGTTTGTCTGGTTTCGTCTCTAACCTCTCGATGACGTACATTCTGTAGTGAGGATGGAGCTGGGAGTGGGGGGGGGGGAGCTATTCTTACCTTATTGGTTTGACAAAACGCTCTACATTTAAAATGAAGCCAAATTGGAATTGGCGCATTTTCTATCGATTATTTATTCATATGGTAGGTCGTGGGTTTTGTTCATGAAATAAATTCATTTTTAAGGCAATTAATTTACTGCGATAGCGATCGGAATTAAAATACGAGGAGAGTATGTTATGTTAATTGATTGAAATTGTGATTCTAAGGTCACGGTAACATGGCCTCTAAAATATATAGCCAAACCCACCTAAACAGCGTTTTCAACATTTTGCATTTTCCGATATATTTAATAGCGTTTTCATTAGTGGTAAAGTTTTACACAATAATTTCGTTTTAATGTTGAACTTCATTCTCCAAAAGATTATCCCTTTATCTCTTCGCAGTTTTACAACTGTTGGCTAGAGAGTGCCAACTTCAAACTAGTCTATTAGGAATAAACAAATGTGGTTTAAACAGAATTTCGTCATGTTTTTGCTACTCAGTTTTTCTTTGTGTTTATCTTTTGAAATGCACACAATGACCACACTTTTGGGGAATTACAATAAATTTGTAAACAAGAAATCAGTTGTTTATTGCTTTTTTGAGTAAATTTTAATTACCACAATCGATATTGACAAATGGTTTATGCGTAGTGTGCTAAAGTGAAAGAAAGTCACTTAATTGGGAAGAAACAAAAAGAAGTTACAACAGCTAATGTTAAACTGAAGATCGTGGTCAGTTAGCAGGGTCAAATTTATAGGTAGAGATTATCGGCAACTTTCTTAAAAAAAGTAATTTATGTTAAAGGCTAATTCTATATGAAAAAGGGGTGGTTTTAAATTAGAAAGGCGAAAAGATCATGTTCTATTTTACGGAAACCTCACTAGTTTCTCTCAACCAGCACACAAAATTGTTCGGAGAAGAATTTGTTTGCTTTAATTGATCAAGCTGTTATACTCTTAGTTCTGCGTTTATAACTTTAATAGTATTTGTCTTCTTATGGCCTTAAATGTCTTTGCATATCGCACTTAAAATGCGTTTCGGTCGCTTGACTTCAACGTGATGGATAAATATATGCTTTAGGTTTGGTGCATTAAATTGACTTACGTCCTTTCACGGCTGAAAAGCAACAGGGAACGATGACTCAGTATATAAGCACGTATGTGGATCATGTTTACTTTCCTCAGTGGACGGATTTTCATTTCGGCTTGGATTCCCATGCGTGGGTTGATGGGAGGGGGGAGA